AATGACATACGAAATATTACTCGAGAAATATTATTCAAAGTCTAAAACCTGCTAGGATGGCGGGTCGTCCATTGAGGCTAACTTTTTCTCGCATTTGTAATCCTCTCCCCTGTTCTATAGAAACCTGTGGAATTGCTTTCCACAAGACGTTTCCATAGCGACGTTATTGTGCCATGGCACAATACTAGTATCACGTCATATAATTGGGCCCTCATGAGGCATAATTGTTTATTAGTGGGATGGTCGCTCATCGACATTCGTTATTGAGCCCCTAGGCTGTCTGTGTTGTGCCTGCATGAAACTAAAATTATATTTATATTGCATTGTGTTATACGCTTAGCAAGATATCTAGTGAAAATATTCCGAAAGTATTTTATTTGATTTTATTTATGGTAAGTGTTGTTTTGCCTATTGACGTTAATGACGTATTTGTAGTAAATGTTTGATATTCCCTTGCCATCGGTATGCTAGATAAAAGTGGTGACTAAACATCAAATATATTTGCCCGAATACTATTTCAGAGCATAATTTGACTAAGACCACACGTACCACAAAGGGAAAACCCTTCTAACGCGCTTAAATACCGAGACAAATACTTCATATAAATCTTTGTCTCCAAAATTGTTATTGATTATCTGTCGTCACACATGTTTTTCCGCGTTCTACCAGTGTTCATACAAATAACCCATTGATATCATTTATATAGCACACGATTTGCCATAAAAACACGTAATCAAATTCGTCTAAATTAGCTTTTCCATTAACTCATGTCTACTTCAAAACTACTAAGAGTTGCAAGATTTTGTTTCTGAAGCATTGGAGAAGGGCTGCTTCTTTAATGCTGAAAGCTCTCCACGACGAACCATATATGTACATATAGATCTGTGTGTGGACACTTACTTTGGTAAGCAAACGTGTGAAGAGCGAAAAATGTGACCGGAAGGTAATGGTTTCTGTGGAACCTTACACTTAAGACGTGCAGCTATTAAGACCTTGGTGCCACCATACGGAGAAAAAAAAAGTAAACTTTTCCTATTTTTTTGCTGAGCGCCGCACCGAAGCTGACATATTGTGTGTCTACTCTTTATGCGAGAAGAGGCATTCAGCGAATTCCCACCAGCATAATGCTGTGTACGCCAAACTAGCCATAAGCGATAATCTATATGTATAAGCTAAATATCGACTGCAAGAAGGGACGTGATGCTTGCGCCCGAACTAGTTCTCGCGGAAATTACATCAGAATATTTCGAGTTCCTAAGTATTATGCTTCGACTACTCTGAAAAATCTAGTTAGTCATCTCAGAGCTGTGACAATTTTCACAGTGACAACAACAACTGGTTAAAAGTTCAAAAGTCCTTTATTGTACGCTGAGGATAGACGAACTGCTGCTTGAAGGTACGTATCGACCAAACGACAGAAACCGTCCATTTGACAGAATCTATAATGTCAACATTTTGTGCCAATCCCCATTTGTGACGAGGAGAAAAATCATCATTACTCCTACTCTGTGAGGGTAATTTTCAGCGAAATCACAAAACGATCCTCATTGTGTTTTTCTAGCGCGCCTCCTATTAGAACTAGCAGCATATTGAAGAAAAATGGTAGTTTAAGTTAAAAGCTTTAGCTGTTGAACGTTGCCATTTTTGTACGGGCTTCTGGGGTTTACGAAAAATTATTCGTTGCCCTCTTTTACCATTTGCCGGATGCAAATTCCTGATCCGAACAAAATCTAGGTAATATCTACCAATACATACATGAACTAGTTCATGTTAGTCATGTTTTTAGTTCAAAATAATCTTAACACACCTTTTGCGACAGCAAACGCTTGCTTGCCGAAGCATTCAACCTAACCGCATTAAATCAAATTTTATTTATTTACATTTGCTGGTAGTACTCATAATCTTCATTCAAACTTAAATATAAATACGGGTCGACAATTTTTGTATCCCAGTATCAAAGAGGGTATACACAGCCATACAAAGACACATCCTGTCATATGGGTTATCCGAGTCTTATTGAGTTTACAAAGCTACTTTGAAGTATTTGCCAGTCTTCGTAAAGATGGTACGATGGGTCACCGCGCAGTGTGGATCTTGTCACAATCTGGAGCACATATATCGTCGGGGTCATGGAAATCTAGTTTCGAATATACTATGGAACCTAAAGCAAATGTCAATATATTGTCTATTTAGGAAGTTCGACCCTTTCTACTCGTTATCACATTCGGGACAAAGAAATTCCAATCTATCATAGCGATTTCAGTTACTGAGAACTCAAAGCGACAAGTCGGGTCTAGGACTAGGAGATACACGAGGCGATTTTGAGACATGGTGTGTAGTCCCAGTGCTCCTTTTAGAGAGGAGGCTTATTCGTAGTTCTCCACTGCGCGATCTTCCCAAATGACGCGAAAGACATACATTGTGATCAAAGCTTTTGTAGACTGAACGAGCTGAGACTGTAACCAAGGGGGCTGTAACCAAGATGTATTGTAACATGTGACGCAACGGGTATGAAGTTTAAACTCCAGTACAGGTTATTCATTTTTTGAAAAAAAAAAATATTTTTATTGACACACATAAAGTATAAAATGTTATGAGTGTTAAAGTGAGGCGGTGGTGCCACTTAGCAATTTTGCTTTCCTGTTTCGATTGGCGAAAATGCGCTCCTCACTATTAAACTTCGTTATTACCCAGTGTTTTATGCGGACGTCGTCTGCCGCTTTCCGATTGGTGTGACTCATTCATATGCTTAAATTCCCGCTGCTTTGAACGGTTAGCACGGACACGAATGAGAGTTGCATAATTAATACGTTCGTTTAGTTGAGCATAGACCTTCTGTGGACCTGCCGGTCGTACACTTGCCTACGCCCCAAGGATCGAACGTGGACTCTGCCACTACTTAATAGTAGCCCGCGGTTCACTACTGCTGCCGCTTCTATGACTCGCTTTTTTTTTTACCTCGAATTCTATTATTTCTGTCTGGTCGTTTCCGAACTTCGTTTGACTCATGGTATGGTTCAGGGACGAATAAAATGGCCGTGAACCGTCTTTGTGAACGGAAACGTCAGGCGTATGATCTCTTATATGCGCGAATGTGAACTTAAGCACCACACTTGAGCTGAACGAAAGTATACGACTGACCTGATTTGTTATGTGCCTCAATAACAGAAGAAACAAGGCAGAAAAACAAAGGCATAACGTACAATATAAACAATCCCATTTTCAACCCGTGAATGTGTAGTGACCTTCTTTGGGCTAGAGGCCAGACACTTTATAAATCATGCGAATTAGTACTCAAAGAAAGACAGCTGGCCGACTTGCGCGATGGGGAGCTCGCGCTCACATCTCCAGAACCAACACTCTTTCTTGTTTTCATTGGGAAAACTCAGGATTGAGTTTTTCGATAACAGAATCTCTACGGCTACTAATGTTGATCATGGCTATACACGGCAGCGTTCATTATAAGACGCAGTTGTATTGGCGTTACATACCTGCTGTGTTAAATCTGAAGCAGTGAAGAGCTTTTGGTGTGTTACCAAAGATCTATCTTGACCGCCGCAAACTTTAACTTTGGTAGATATATGCTACTGTAGCCTGCGTCACGTAACGTAATTTAAGCATAGTTACGTCTAATAGTTGCCTAATGGAGCAACGCAAAGCGAATGTCCTAAAACACGGAATGAGTTGCAGACTAATGCATGTTTTTATATCCAGATTACATAGTTGGTTATGGCAAACTATAATCTTATACATATTATTGAGAGATTAAAAAAATAACTATTATTCATACAGATTTGAAACATCCAAGAGTGCCTTAGGTGAGAGACATTTAAAATATATTTCTTTGCTTACTCATACCTGTCATGCAATATGTGTCACTGACGGGGCTTGAACCGGCGGCCCCTCGCTTTTTCACCAGCGGATTCATTTCAAGCTACCACGCCAACATATAAGAAATAAGTTCAGCTAAGCTGATTATGATTAAGAAAATATGATTATATTTAATTTTCGGCTATTCTGATCTACCGTATTTTATTATATTATAAATTAATTATATTATAAATAATAATAAGAATAATAATAAGTGGTATATAGTGGTTGAGTAACAGTGAATATAAGAACTTTGTACCCAGCGTATTGTTTATGTACCCAGCGTAATACAAAAAAATCACATTTTTTATTCAAATCGTACTTCCGATGTATTATCTACAACTAATAATAAATGTAATAACGTGCTTATGTGCATAGCATAATACAAAAAATCACACAAATGTAATAACATGTTTATGTACCCAGCGTAGTACAAAAAAAATCACATCTTGTTTTATTCGAATCGAACTTATCAACAGGGAAGGTTGGAAAGTAAGCACCAATTTTACTGAGGAAACGCTTTGAAAACTGACTCGACCTACACAGAAAAAAGGTATCAGAAATGCGAACAGTTAAAGCACGTACATCGAATTTAAAAATGTCCCACATACGGTGTCTTCGTTATTAATAAGGATTATTACACCTAAGAGCTAGAAAAATCGCCAGCGTAGCAAATCACTTGTTTAATATTTAGTCCATGGACCAATCGCACAATCGTATGATGTCACTATTTCGCGCAATCGATTCATGACGACGATGACATGGCGCTTCACCGAATCAACATCCCAGCAGATGCGTTGCATCCGTTCCGCCAGTAGCAGTGACGTGTGGCTATTTGTGGTCAGGGAAACGGCAGAACATGGTAAACGACAAAACTGTACCCGCAGGGGGATAAAGTAACAATTACAGTTTTTAAGCTATCCGCGCACAAACACGCGCTCAGTCAAAAACAATCACGCCTAACGTAACCACAGGCAGTTTATTTATAATACACGCACGCAGATTGCGACAGCAGAGCAGCCAGAAGAAGGCAAGCACGTTTGTAACATCTCATAGTACTACACAAATACGATTCCGTTGGCTTGACTTAGCTTAGTTTCGCTGTCTGTTTTTCAGCGTTCATCACCTACCTTTTTTTGGGCCTCAGCCGCGAGTCCACTCTTTGGAGCACGGTTCTCTGCCATTATTAACTATAGTATCAGGAAGTGATTTCCCTAATCAGATATTGTCTTTTGGCTTTGTTGTGTTTGTCGTTCGAAGCTTCGTTCCTTCTATCGAACAAATCCCGTTACTCAGAGTTCATTCATCAGTCAAAGCGATGCCAATTATATTGCTGTCACTGCTCTACGCGCTGCGATAGGGCACTCCACTCATAAACAGACAGACAATCTGTGAATGAACGAACACTAGAACCACGTCCGTCAACGGCACAACTCGTAATGCTACCACTATGGCTGGTACTGCTATTATTGTAGTTGTGGATAGTCCATCGTGGCCGAGCACATCTCTCCGTTCGGCGGCAAGAGAATAAGCGACGGGCTGCGGCGGCAGCGGCGGCGCCATGAACCAGCACTGACGTCACCCCTATCACTTCGAGGGCCTTCATTGGACCTCCCCCTTGTTGCTGTCAGGGTCTTGCTTCCAAACGGGGCCATAGAGGGCGCTGCTGATGTTTACGTGCCGGCATACATATAGAACTGCACGCATGTCCGAAAGAGAGGATGATGGCATACGCTATGAGTGACAGTTCAGCGGGCGCAGTAAAGGCAATTGCTAAATTGAGTGAGGGCAAACGAACGCAGGGAGCGGCCACTGTCAGGGCGACCTTGACGCTTGGCAGTCGCGACGAAACGCATGTTGAAAACCACCTTCTCTCACGCACAGCAGAGAGACACAGATTCACAGTGTTGCTACCGACGACTAAAAAAAACTGCGCTGATAGTAAAGGACGGCGCTCCAAAGCATCGTAATAAGACGATATTAGGTCCCTGGGTAGGTCAGTTAGATAATTGGATGGATAATGGTTGGATGGCAGAAGTGCTTAAGAAGGTATGTTGGTATGCCGAATTGTCGGATGGAGACAACACGTCAGGCGCGACGGCAACCGCCAACATAATTAGATTTGTAGAGAGGAGGCCACGCCGCAGTATATCAATACGCGACGAAAGTGATCATCTGTAAAATGTTGCATCTCAATTACACAAGACAATTGTCTAGCTAGCTATCTTAAGCTTATAGCAACGACGATGTTGATTTTCACTGATATCGTTTAGGTATTTGGTAAAGTGAGACAGTATTCTCAGGCTTGTCCGTTGACAGTACATAGCAAAACTGATACATATGGCAAAAAAACTGTAACAAATGCAGAGAAGAATCCGGTGTAAGGTTTAAACGGGTACTCTTATGTAAGATATTTGGTACATACGAAGATTTGAGTTGCTGAACAAACTTAAAACTCACTAATTGTAAAATATATTCGAATGAAATCGATTTGTTCCGTAGTAATCTGTTTGAAGACGGTTTTGCATGTACTGATTCCTCACATCATACTCTAATGGAAAATTACCATGAATATGAACTTAATAAACCTGCCCCTGAAAGCCGTGTACTTACCTGAATCTTCGTCAGAATCCTTCGTATATTATACAGTGCGAAATATAAGTATTATATGCTTCTATATGCTTTAAATGCTTTACATACTTATAGCAGCTTTCATCGAGGTATTTCAGGATTATTTTCTATTGTAACAATCATGTGACGGCTGACAAAATATATTTCATAAAATCTGAAATTTTTTTCATAATTCGAGCTCCGCACGAACCCAATATTTCCACGTAAAATGAAAAATAATTAAAGTTATTCCCTAACGGGCCGAGTACTTTGTTCTAAACCTAAAATAAATTCTGCAGACATTTTAGTTTGCCACAGCTGTCAAAATTCGTCCATCTCTGTTTTATCGAAACTCTCATTGGCCAATAATGCCCATATATTGCAAATAAGAACAAATGTTGTTGATATTTTAAATGACAAATATACAAAACAGAGTGTATGAAATCTACTAATTAATTTATGCTATTAAAACGTTTATTCATACTATTAATGCTGTCTGTATGAGAAAGTTTTTAAGTGTTAAAATTCAGTATATTATGGTAAACAAAATTGACACACTTATTGTTATTGTACACTGTGCTGTTGTAGATGCTTTTACATTGGCAGGCTGATGGACAGAACCCACTTTTGGCAGCATCTATCTGTTGATCTACAACATGGTAACTGGTACATTCGCTCTCACTACGGTGCAAGCAAAATTTTCATCAGGCGAAGTCGATGGAGCATGTAAGCGGAGAGTTGAATTTCTAATACTGGTTATTAATATTCGAGCGTTTTCTGAAATATTAAAAATCATTTTAGATATGTTGGATGCTCATACACACACATTTTGTTACTGGTAATCCGCACGGTCTCATAATGCACGCTTAGGAAAACAGTCTAGCGTTTGTGATAGGAAATGCTCAATAAGGCGACGACACGTATACAGAATCGTGCTAGGTCCGGTGAGGCCATTATTAATCGACTCCACTTATGTGGAACTTATTCGCTGTTATATAGGGAATGCGATGGGAGCACTGTGCTTCATGCGGCACATTATTTAAAGAAGAAGGTACGGTTGTATAGTCAAGTATTGTCTAAGCGAATAGCCGTATTGAAACTCTTCCCTAGCCGCTAATTTGCGATAAGCGACAACCTTCAGCCAACAGCGAGCACTAAAATGTTATTTATTCATCAGCTTCTTTTTCGGTATGTGTGTCAGTTATTTATTCATATTTTTTGCTCATTAATTTTGTAGTTCATGTGAGTTATGGAAGGGCAAACACACACTTTTTTAGTTTATATGTATTATATTTTCCAAATATTCCTCATTTGAGGCGTCGTAGTAACCCATTCGGAACTTAGCGTACCCAATTGGACCCAATAGCCATATCGATACACTAGATTGGTTATAAAACTAGCAAGTTGATTTAAGCTTTTTTCCTCTATAGGGAAAGGTTTGAATCAAATAAGAATGCGTTGTCACGGGTATCATAGGTTTTGCAAATGTAATGTTTATAAAAGATTTGTAGTTCTCATACATAAATTGCAACTACAACAATTTTCACAGGCAGAAACTATTTCGATTGCTGTTTCCATTTGCAGCGCAACAGCGCCTTATTTGGACATGTTTTTCCGCGCATTGTACATGTGAAACTGCGCTCATGGATCACGCAAAAAATGTATTATTTGCTTCGACAAGCAAAATCGGATTGCGACCGAAAGAGACGCGCATGCATAACCAACCTACTTTAGTACGTTGCGGATGATCTAGAATATTACTCTCCTCCTAATTTGGGCCGTGATGACAGAAAAATGCATTTATGTGTGGAGCCCCGTTCAAATGATAGATGACAGAAATGAGTTAACTTCAGAAGAATGAAAGGAAAGGGGGCTTGGCATACAGTTCTGTCGAACTCGATAATTTAACAATCATGTTTGTCGAGCGAAAACTTGCTTTTGTATTTGCAGTGGTTTTAGTTCACTCGCTCACGCATTCATCCGCGTGATAACTGAGCACGCAAGCCACTTGAGGTGCATGGAACAAACACCTGTTTGTTTCCGAGAACTTTTCATTCGAAACGAAATTCTGAACGATTTCTAAATTAAACTTGTCGATTTTATGCCTCTAATTTGTAGCCATTGTCAAAAAAACTCGGAGCCAGAACTATAATCTTTTTTTAAAGCGACAGATAAGAACATTGTACTGTTTATCATCTACCTTTTTTAGCATTTATAGTATGCGCAATCTATATTATTATTCAATATTATCTATATTATATTACAATGCAAAATTAATCCCGCACCATTAGATCATAGAAACCACCTTGAAAAGGCGAAGGACAGCGAATCTTGGACTTAGTATTACATAGTATATCAGTATTAGATTGTTCGTTCAATGCATGTAGAAAATGTAGTTCAATATGTCTTCTTTTAAAGCCAAGCAGTTCGGTATATTTGTATCGTGTAAGGCGTAGGTCCGATCACTCGGATAATTGTTCTATATAGTTTGTTAAATTTTAAGATGGCATGTTAGATTTAAAGAGGCATCATACACCGATTTGTTATCTGGGAACGGCCTGAAAGCTCTTCTAAAAAAGCTATCGGCAAATAATTCGTGGATGCAATTATGTTCTTAGCCACTTCATATCAATGGTCTCCTTTTGATTGTATTGGCTTGAGAAATTAGGAAGCTTAATTACAGCTTAGTACAGCTTAAGCATATACGACTTGTTAATTCTAATTTGCATCTTGTGCTACCGCGCAGCCGTAGTCACTACAGAATTACACAAAAAGGTAGAGTCTCTACATTAATATGGAACAAAGAAAGAATTGGGGGCTCCGGGAGGTACGCCTAAACCAAAAGTTAAGGCAGATTTTCCATGCCAGGCCGCGCATGACAAAGGTGATCTGTGCCGCTCTAGAAAAAAAGATTACTTTTGTATCGCTTTATTTTGTTTTTATTTGGGTTTTGCTTCTATGAACTACCATTTCCGTGATATTCAATTTACTAAATGAAATTCGTAACCGTACATTTGATGAGGTATTCTCAAGAACTGTCTGAACAAGGCGCTAGACTAGAAATCCTCGCGGTAAAAGAATAAAGAAATTGTCAAGGGATAAGGGAAATCATACGCAGTAATTTCGTATACATAGTCGCTTAATTAGCTGTTACAACGCAAGTGAAATCCTGCTTTTTTTATTTACTGAAAAAGCCCAGATGAACTCGATTAGCGTTATATAATTATGCTAAAAATCCAAATAACATTGGAAGCGCCCCTAATGGTTCTGGTTAACTACAATAGGTGAACTTAACCCGATAAGGAAGCATTGTAATGGAAAGCGCATACTAGAGGGTACTCATTTTCACAATAAAAACCTTAAAATATATTTCCACGAGTCTTATATTAAGAAAGATCATACGCATGGATTGTTATAGTTAATAAATGTAAAGGTAATATTAAATTAAGAAGCGCAAAATTTTAATTACACAGAAACTCATTTGCCTTATGGGACGCATATGCTACAATTCGCAACCACACAGACAGAATAGATGCGTTTCGAACGGTGAAGCAAAGGACTTATAACAGCTATTTAGAATTAATATAAAATTATGTTCACTTTTATCAGTTAGATTAGAAAATTATTGCACAACCATATTTCGTATGAACATACATGACTAACTCTCGATAGATCTAAATGAATATTTGCTTACCGCGTTTTTTGCGAAGTTACGTAAGGACACCGAAATGTTCATTCTTGGTTGGTTTGGTTGGTCCACGAAAATTCGCAATGCTCCTTAATTTATAATGAATGCTGCGTAGTTATAACATTTAGAGACTTACAGCACCATCCATGTATAGATTGGTACGGCCTTCCGTAAATTTTCCTACTAGCTAGCAAGGCATTCATTAAAGGGCAAAGACTGAATCGTCGTTTCATAACCTCGATAGACGAGGGCGCCGTTGAGTGCAATCCCATGAAGCGTTTGAGTTTTTCGAGTTGATTTTGAGTCAATTTTAGCTACCTCAAATTCACGAGAAACAGCCCTTCTATACGTTAGCGTGGCTTTGGTGCACATCCTCGAATGTCGGATGTCCTTTTACTACTAATTAAAGACATCAAAATTTAGCGAGTAATACCGTAGCGAGGTTTGTGTCACTCTACGTGTACTTTAAATGTATTATCTTGAGTCCTATTAAAAAAAAAATAAAAAAAGGTTCTTTTATATGATTTCTATGTTTGTTCAGCAACCGGAACTATTTTGGGGCCAGTTTATGGAATTTCGATTGACGCTTATTAGTCTGCGTCTCTTCACGACGAAACCCTGCGACTCTGCCACGAAAACCTTTTACCGTTGAACGAACGAAATCGCCTAATCTAAGGAAAATTGTTCAAATAGTAGAATGGAGCGTTTTGGGAGACGATCCGTTAATTTTTCGTGAACTTCATCTCCACTGTGCTCGTGAACATTTCTTTACGTTGTCCACGCCACTAAAAAATTACACTTGTGGTTTGCCTCTAACCGTGCAAAAGTACGCATCATTCGAAAGTAATATTTAGACCATTTTTTGTGTTTTGCATTCGGTACTTAAGCCTAGACATAGGCTGGTACCCAACATGAGCTAAAGTCTATCGACGCGCGGCTTCAACTACAGACCAACACGCGTCTTTATGTTCAGCGGTTAAACACGTTACCTAAACAGGAGCAATAAGTTTGTCTACTAATCCGTTCAAATTAGTTCGGGCATCGGCGAACATCTAGAGCCCTTCATAACACAGACAAGTACGAAGTTTTCCAATCTCCAAACAACAGAATTTCAATGTAATAGCTATGTGGTCTCGATACGGACGTAAAAGTATCCGGTTCAGCCAAAAATGTGCTGTAGCTGTGAGATTAAAGGTTGTACAGTGGTTACCCTTCGTAGTCAATTATTCGTCTATTTAGAGTAGTCCTTACTTACTGCATGGCTGCAATGCAACTGAATTTTATTATATGCATAGCCTGTTTGTTCGGTTGATTTTGATTATTAAGAAATTTCTCAAAAATAACTTACGTATCATTAAACAAGTCCCAAGTTTACCGGAAATACTTATTAGATTTCGGTTCATAATAAATATCACGAATAACCGAACTAAGTGCGTTAAAAGAAAGCAATGTAGACCAAGCGATTTCAAAGAGGCCAATTAATGTTTGAGTCACTATAGGGATGCGACTAGCTGCTATAGAGCAAAACGTTGGGTTCTTCCAAAACTTTCGAAAAGTGAAAATGTTCAAGTGCAATATACACGAAGCGCCATCGCGAACTATCAGAAGTGTATAAAAATTGCATATTAAGAAGTCAATATGTTGAAAACGTGTCTTTACAACGATTTGCGCACGTATGAAGTTTAAGCTTTGAATTTTCCTGCATCCTTTAAGGAGATTCCTCAAAAGTTCTATAGCAATTGAATGTCTTTAAAATGTATAGTGCACCCATTTTTGCGTTGATTCATGGAAGTTTAAAAGAAAAATCAGTTAGGCAGTGGGGTTTAACTGCAAATGTATAAAAACTGGACTTGTTTAGATTGCTCCTCTTTAGGTCATATGCAAATTCGAAAAATCAGCGTTAAAAATATAACGTGACGGTAGTTGTATTCAGATATGTATCAGATATGCGACAGTATCCCGAGGCACGCGAATGATGATATCTATTGTGAGAATGCCACCTGGCGACTTACTGAGAAATAAAATACATTTATACATATTAATTATCTAGGGCAAGGTAAGATTGTACTCACTAGTAGACGTTCGAATAGTAGTAGCATTTCATCAGTTTAGAGATGTTAGACTTGCAGTGCTGTCCTATTATTTAAAGCGAGTTCCCGCACATTAATGCAAAATCACCTAAGATGCAGCTCGATTAAACTGCAGAATTTTTGCTTTAACGAAAAACGCTAGTGAAAGTAAGCCAAACATTGGTGGAAAATTAGTTGAGTAATGGTTGTTTATAACCAAGTTGGTAAATAACTATTATATATATATATATATATATATATATTTCTACAATAACGTACAAAAGTTTACGTAAGTGATCCAGGGTTTGTTGTTGTAATAAATTTACTAACATAATCTGCGAGCTCTCAAATTGTCTGTTACTACACTAGCTATGTTTTACGTAACAATTTTAATTTGACATACTTTTGCAATTATATATTTCACACACTGTTTTGCAAGATTTCAGTTACACGAACCGTATCAACAGGTTGAAAATTGTCAGAATTCTGCGCCGATTCAGGCCAGATACAATCCATATGTTCGACCAACAATGAGCGTATTTTTACTTCTTCCACTGCTGTATAATTTAATACGTTTATGTTGAAAATAATGAAAAAACTCTAAGAAATTTGAAATTACGCATAGTTTTTAATATCAGACTTCAGGTCCGGGGTCGGATTTATTTAGAACACACGATAATCACGTTTATTTACACATTAACACATTCTCTTGGCCTCGTATATTCAGTACTTCCGAAAACATCTTTGTCCCTGGTAATGATTGCTGTTATCAATTGTATTGTTCCACTGTGTTTCTAGTATTGTTCCATTCGCCTTTTATCACGGACGCTTTTTGAGTGAATTATGTTAGCTTTGGTTAGATCGAATCCGGAATAAAGGTGGCTTCATATTTTTCTGTCCCACCTGGTATGCACTAGGTCGGAGCTTCAATCTCATTTACAATCAAGAGTCTTTTTTTGCTCGGCTTTTTGTTGCTTGAGCCGCATTTGGTCTGCATCACGTTGTCTCCGTTCTTCAAGCGTCATACCTTGGAAAGCAAATAACGAAACAAAAAGGCATAACATGGCTTATTTAGGTGCATATCGCCTAAGTCAGTTCGAATAAATATCTCTGCTAAAATAATCAAAGAAGATCTAAAAAGATAACCACCGGAGTACGTGTAAAGAAACGAGTCGGAAAATGTATAGCAGAATTATTTTTCTTATTTAGAAAAAAATTTCATGTCAGTTGTCAGATGAGATTAAGATTCGTTACTGTATTACAAATGTGTTGAAACATACCTTTGTTCCCGTCCTTTTGGGAGGATCCTTTTTTCCTCTGAAGTTCTAGTTGCTTCTTCTGGTTCTTCTCGCGAGCAAGATCCCTTTGGTTTCCGCGAGTCATTGCAGCCAATAATACAATACCAAAATTTGACCAACGGGAATACGGTGTGGCAAAGATTCGAAGCGTACTCTGGCCAAGGAGCACCTAAAATTGCAAGAATCAAATTAAATTACGAGGTCCACATGATGGCTCATGGAGAGGCGGTAACTACATAAAGTACCAACAGTACACTCGTAATTAAATGAAGCACCGCTATCCTGTCTCGCTTACTTTATATATCGCCGCTTTCACGTAAGTTACGATTTATAACCTTGCTTTTTTACTATACATATATATGATATATATATACTATATATATGATAATACAGCTTAGCGGGCTTAAGTAAAATCAATAAAAAATATAACTACAAAATTGCGTCACGTTTCTTTATCATCTGTATATAAGCCTATATATTTTTGTTTTATGTTTAATTCTTTTGGTCTATTGATTTTTTTAGTATCTACATTAATGGGTAACACCACACGAAAAAGTCAAGTCGGCATCACTCAAGCAGTTTTCTCAGACGTCTGGGAGTTACCCAGTTGTTGCTGGATGAAAACATTACATAATCACGATTGAACCCCCCTAAACATGGGTAAATGTATCAGTTTGTTGGGTAAAGTGTGCATTTATAACTAATGGATGCCTCATCTCGAGTGATATGGCCAAATGGCGAAGCCAAATAAAATCATATTTCTACACAGAAATCAAATACTAAAGATGACGGAGCAGTTAAAGGCGACTGCAGCACCTGGAAGGTGGAATTCTGCCAAAACGATAATTTGTAACTATACGATAATATTTTTATGAGAAGTACGTTATTCACCTTCGCTCGATGCAGTAAAGTATAACCTACCCCAAATGTGGTGGCACACCAATGAACCAGTTTTTTGTGGGGGTTAATTCATGAAAGTTTCGAGAAACTTCTTCCTGTACCTTATCCGCTATCGGCAAAGATGGCGAACAAACAAATCGCTTAAATGTCGGACTACTGCTGGCACGGAACGGGAAATGCTCGGAACAGCTAAAGGTATCTGAATGAGCGCGCGCAACTTTTCTAATTCCTTGATTAAGAGGCATCACCTGAAATGAATGGTTTGTTATTCGATTGAATCAAATAAAACATTTAGACTAGCACGCATTGAATGATAATATACCGTTGCTGTTATAGGATATTTCTTCAGCAATTCTTGTTTTCGCGCGGATCTCGAAAACAATTACTAGATATTACAACGTCGATCAATCGAAGTTACTCAGCTTTGTGGAAACTAGAAAGGAGTAGAGTTGAAGATAATTTTGAACTAATAAATTCAGTTTTGTTGTTTTATCTAACTATGCAGTTTTCCAAAAGACGTCACACACGCTGTTTGTGAAAGTAAATTATTAATTTTGGCTAAATAATAACTGAAATTAAAGAAGCTAAATCGAACCGAAGGTTCTTAGGTATAAAAATGTTTGATGAGATGTGAAACGGTAATGAAAAAGAAGCTAATCAAAAAGGTAATATTGCTGTATCTCGTTCTGACGACAAGTTTGCAATGGTAATATTAATCAACAAAGATTTCGCTATAATGATTTATAAGCATTCAAAAAAAGCCTATGTTTAATTTGGTTAAAATCAAAAGGTTTGACGTTTTTGTGTCTGCAAACCCTAACATTGTTTCTTTCGTAATAATTTCCCGCCGTGTGATTTTCTGTAAACTATAATCGTTTGTATTGAAACTAGCCTTGGATTTGAGTTAAAATAGACTTTACTAGTGTAGGCCAGTGTGTTTCCTATGTAAAAGAGCTTATCTTCTTATGAGTAGAATGTGCATTTAGGTTTTATTTTGAAGCACTTTTACCCAGAAACCATTCGTTTTGCCAGCTCACGAGATGCTTACGCTGCGAATATAGATGCCTTCATTGCTCAACTGAATTTCTTTCAATTCAAGTTTGCCGTATAATGTATTGAGTCTTTTTGAGTTAGTCTTTTTTACACGTTTGCATTTTTTACCATCTAAGAGCGTATTTTACTTAAAACATTCTCTAGATTATCTTGTACTAATTACATTTTGCCTAGTACCTCTAATAGCATATATATACATACTATAGGCTGCATTAATAATTTAAGCAATTTTTTTTTAGATTTATTTCAAAAACAGAGTATATCATTGCTGTGTCAATCCATCCTAGAAGCGTATATTCTCCGGGTGCATTGCATTTGTTGGAACAGATATTTAAACAGCTACGATAAGTTGTTGATAATTAACTGGTATTAAGGGGTATTTTTTTCAAGCTAGTTTGCTCATGAATAATACTCGTATTACGTGTTAGGAAGAGGCCAACTGTTACACGAGTGCGCTGAACAAAGTTTCGGTAGATGACGAAGAGACGGCGTGAAGCTGTGCTTTTGCTCAGGGCGCCTAATAGGCTAAGTTTTGCAAGAGGTTAAAACCTTAGGTCAGGATTTTAACATAGCAACTTTTAGAAGATAACTAGTCGGGAACGTTTAGTTTCATTCCAAGAGCACCACTCGTATATGTGAAAGGATTCGAGGCCCTTTCAAGCTGCAACTTCTAGTTTCTCATGGTAATCGGAGATTAGATATAGTGAATAGTTTCTACATCGACTAGACGTCTAAAGTTTTCAGTAAGTTCTAAACATTGTACATCTAACACCCCCCTGTTAAATGGATAGTTCCTGCAACTGACAATAATTTTCTTCTAAAAAACATACCCTTGTAATCTTCTAGCAATCGCGCCTCCCCGATATGAGGCAGTGCATCGCTCCTAGGAGTGAAACCGATCCAGAAATCCATTGGAAAGAAGAAGGCAAAATGTCTTTGATTGTTCTAGAAATAGACGCACGATATAACAATATTGATATGTTGGAGACGTATTGTTGTAACTATGTTAGATTCGGAAGTAAGAAATCTTTTTGCCGTTTATATTTTCTTGAAAAAGGCTTCCAAATACTCAAATAAAAATATAGAATATAAAGCGCAGCTCATCACATTTTTATTCTGGTACAATAGGGGCAACCAACTTCTCCGTGTGAACATACTACCGCTTCCATAGTTGCCTCAGCATTATCCAAGTTTCCTAGAACTCAATTGGAAAAGATGCTATGGAACTTATTAACGTTTATTTACTGTTAATTATTGTGGCCGAGATTGCAATCGTATGCGTAGTAAGGCTATAATGTACGTCTTAAGACAGTGGAAAGCTTAGAAAGAAAGCACATGTTAAGAAGAAAAAACGGTCTTGTGAGAGCTAAGTCAGTTTATACGGCGATAAATGGTATCTAGACACAACGTGCTCAAAATAGATTGGGACATATTTTAGCCGACCTTTGTTCATTGCGGATATTCGACCACCCGTTTACTGAAGAAAAGCCGATTTTTCTATACCAATATCATAAGCTAATCATGACAGAAGCAGGATGTTCGTCTTTGAATAAAAGCGGAATTATTCTCTAATGTTCCACGTTATTTTCGGATGTTTCCGCTCCCAACATACCCTAACCAATGTTATATACCGCCTCGATCGTCCAAAATCAGCAGCGCATTTCGTTGTGTTCGCCAAAGAAAAGTGGATTCTTATAGATTAAAACAAGAAGAACACGCCAGTAGCCTCATTGTAAGGATTTCACAGCTAATTAGAAAGGCGCAAAAGTTAGTCCTAATGTGGTGGCTAAGTTTGATATGGTGCAAATAATCCACTAGCTAGAAGTCTTACGCTGTTGAACCTATTTAACGAAGTCAAAAAGCTTGATCAATGTAATTTTCTTTTAAGTTTTGAAAACTATTTTTCAGACGTTCTAGGAGCTTTGGTAAAATCGCAGATAGCTGTTTGTCGAATTGTAGGCCATATACCTTTCAGCGAATTACGAACTAGAGCGGAACTGGCTAGCGTAGCATATTTTTGTAAACTTCTGTTCGGCTTGGAGTACAAATTTGAATCCGTTTCATTAGTATGTATATGGCGTAATTGAGCAAGATCCTAACAACGTTACATGACAGCGTCTCGACTCGACAATGTTGGATCACCTATTATCGTTATAAGGGAAACGTTAAAAAATAAAGAATGATCATATGCTTTGATATATGCCTGCGCACGATTTAGGTCTCGAATTAGGACCTTGATTGAAATGAGTGTAGGCTTCATCGATGAGATACATCAGTCAGGAATGCTTCTGTCTGTACATGAGGCCATGTATTTCGATTTTAACGCAGTGTGTAACAAAGCGGTATCAGGTTCCGTCCAATGTTTTTTAACATCCAGTATATTTAGATGAGCGTGAACCAAAACAACATTTTGAATGAAGCACATTAAGCAAGAAGACGGCTATATCAACCGAATAAGGTTTTCTCATAGTTTTTAATAGGGGACACAGACTATTCCTGGTTTCGTGTCCATATATATAAAGGTCATGATCTATTGACACACGTTACCTCATATTATATATGTAACATTGAATAATATCTTTGTGCAGTATGTTGGTTTGCATATTAATTGCGTTCGGAGTTATCACCGAATGAAAACAGTCAGTATTCGTTAGTAAAAATGTGAGCTATTTAGTTAGATACGAATAACTGAATTGATGTGAACTACCTCTTTGGTCTTTTTCTATAAAACTATAGAAAACTGTAAAAAAGAAATAAAACTGAGCTTCCCTTTAAGCCCAACCGCTAACGTTATATTCAGGGGAGAAAAAGTTATAACATACAGATTGCCTCCATTAAAACGGGGGGTTAATATTCGTAGCAGCAAAATCATCACACTCGTCCTGTTTACAACTAAATGGTTTGAGTTTTCGTCCTTGGCCATTTCATCGGACAGCTGGTTCCCTGCATGAAACGCACTGCGTCTATGTCTGAAGCCGCGACATGTACTTCTGATTAGCAGGCAAATACGTTACCTACAAAGCAAACCCTCGATCGAAGAGAACTATCAGTTAACCACAGAAAAACAAAGAGAGGATAAGGGCATCTCTTATTACGCTATCTAAAGCTGGTACACAGTATTGTGGCACTTCACTGTCATTTTACACGATCGATTATTTTCACATGAGCAATTAGTGGTAAAACTCGAACTTCTAATGCTAACGACTCTAAAGATGAATCGCTTAGTCAAGTGAGTCTTATACAAATAGCGCAGCAGAATTTTCTGTTTCTGTCCTATGCATCGTCGCAGAGTTTTGTCACGCGCATTACACTATATTCTTTTGTTTGCTATATTTCTCGTATCTTATACTTCTGTGTATGTGTACAGATGGTGGTACAGTGGTTGTGCATAGACTAGCAAGTCGGTAACGATATTAGCTGACAGGGAAAGACGAAGTTTACGTCATCCTGACATAAGAGTTTAAAGATAAAAAGTTCGACAACATTATGGAGCTCATAGTCAACGTAGCCATAGTTCCGCACAGTAGCAGGATTAAAACACTCCTTTCTACAAACCAGAATCCCAGAAACCAGCGAAGACATCAATTTTCACTGGTGGATTTCAATAAAGAAATACGTTCTTCGAAGGGAATTCTCTTCGAAAAGGGAACAAGTTGTATTAACGAGAAAAACCTACTGGCAACTTCGTTCCTTTTATAATATCTAGATTACGAGAAAACTGATTTATCTTTATCTATGCTATACGGAAGTTTTTCACTCTCTTTATCCGCCATAACAGATCAAATACTATTTTCAAATATTTCATTTGCCTGTAATTATTTGATATAGAGACTTTACTATGTACACGTGGCTGTACTGGTACATTATTTTGTTATTTTTGGGTCTGCTTAATATGCATCGTCTCAGATTTTCCTTATCATTCAGACAACTGCAAGGAAGTTACTTCGTGCGACAACGGCGTTCTAAAGAACCGTGCTTGTTCTTACAAAAATTGCTAATCTGTACAAAAATTCACGTATACAAACTTGCTTTTTAAAATCGGGACGACAATAACGTAGTTCATGAGGGTTGCGGTCTCAGAACCTTGCAGTCAGAGGATTTGTTTCGGGCAGCGTGTCGCAAATTGTTTGCTTCCCACGCACGAGGCTTGACTCCTGACGTTTTAGGATAGCTTCTCGCTTCACTGCAATGCGAA